CTGAGGGATGGCTCTATGTGTGGTAAAATTTTCTATCTTTCACTAACATTTTCTGGAGCAGTTTTTCTCAGCATAGGTTTATTTTGAACCTCCCGCCCCGAGGACATTTTGCCATGTTTGAAGACATTTTGGTAATCACAATTGTGTGTGTGTGTGTGTGTGTGCATGTGATAATACTGGCATCTAGGGGGTAGAGACTAGGAATTTCAGCATATTATGGGGGTACAGATGTTTAGGTTATGTATGTTGCCCTTGCCCCTCCCCACCCCAAGTCCGAGTTTCAAATGTGTCCATCCTTCGGGTGGTGCGCATTGCACTCTTTGTGTATGCATATACCCGTCCCCTCCACCCTGGCCATATCTTTTTCTGCTTAGTTTTTTCCCTATTGTATATCTTGAACCTTTTCAGCTTCCTAGCTCTGAATATCCTGTTTGGCCATTATATAATAAAGGTCATATCTCTTTTTGTGGGTCTTCCTAGATTGATTTCTTAAGACCCTTGATGTGATTGATCTTTGTCTTTTTTTTACATCACAGAGCAAAACTGTTGTTTTATCCTGTTTTTTTTTTTTTTTTTTTAACTTTAGTTGTTGTTGAGACAGTCTCACTCTGTGCCTAGGCTAGAGTGCTGTGGTGTCAGCCTCACAACAACCTCAAACTCCTGAGCTCAAGTGATCCTCCTGCCTCAGCCTCCCAAGTAGCTGGACTACAGGTGTGCACCACCACACCCCGCTGATTTTTTCTATTTTTAGTAGAGATGGGGTCTCACTCTTGCTCAGGCTAACTTGTGTTTTATTTACTGTATATCTACTCTGCCAATCTCAAGCAGGTAAGTTTCTGAACATCTCTTTATAGCAAGTGAGCAGCATGAACATTTTTGTGCTTAAAAAATTCTATGAATATAAATCTTAGATAATATCCTTAATGAATGCCCTTTTAGTACTTTCTGCTAAAGGTATTTTTTTTTACTAGGTATAAAATCTACATATCAGTGAAATTCATGGATCTTAAGTATACAATGAGTTTTGAAATATGTATAGGCCTGTGTAAATCTTCCCAATCAAAACTCTTTTCAGTAGACAACCTTTTCTCTGATTTCTACACCATAGGTTAATATTGCCTGTTCTTTAACTTCATTTAAAAGGAATCACACAGTATGTGTTATGTCTGGCTGCTTGTCTAATACCATGATTTTGAGATCCATTCATGTTGACTGGTCAGTAATTCATTCTTTTTGATTACTGAATGGTGTTCCATTGTATGAACATAACACATTTTTATCCATTCTCCTGTTGGACTTTGTGCTGTTATGAGTTTTGGCTATTATGAATAAAGCTACTATAAACATTCTTTTATAAGTCTTATCTTTGAGTGTATGTCTTCATTTTTCTTGGGTAAATATATGTGGGAGTAGAATTTCTGGGTCATGTTTAGGTATATGTTTAACTTAATAAGAAACTGCCAATGCTTTTTCCCAAGTGGTTGTACTGCTCAGGCTGGAGTGCAGTGGCGCAATCATAGCTTGCTGTAACCTCAAATTCCTGGGCTTAAGCAATTCTCCTGCCTCAGCCTCTGGAGTAGCGACGACTACAGGCGCACTGGCTAATTTTTAAAATTTTTTGTAGAGATGTTGTGTCTGCAAACCTAGGCTGGTCCCATTTTTTCACTCTTTATGCATTTTCTTTTTCTTGCCTTATTGCATTGGCTGGTACTCTCAGTATAATGTTGAATAGAAGTGGTAAGAGTAGATATCATTGCCTTGTTCCTCACCTTAGGAGAAAGCATTTGATATTTCCTCATTAGGCATGATGTTAGCCATGGGGTTTTTCATAGATGCTCATTATCAGATGAGAAGGTTTCTTTCTCTACCTAATTTGCTGAATGTTTTGATCATTAACAGATGTTGAATTTTGTCACATTCATTTTCATCTGTTGAGACGATCATATGTGGTCTTCTTTATTCTGTTAAGATTGATTTTTTTTTT